CCGGCCGGGGTGCCGCGGGACAGCCGGCCCCATCCCGCCCTGGTGCCAGGGGCATTGCCATCGTTGCACAATGATGGTATAGGGGTTGGGGACCCCTCACAACCGTCCCTGCCCCTGGGCAGCCTGGCAGGGGCAGAGCCATGCCGTATTTGCACGGGATCCAGCTGGGGCCATTGCATCGCCCAGACGGTCCTGTGTTCAATTGCACCAAGAAGCCCAACGGCAGGTCGCAGCAGGTGTTTCCAGCCTCGCGAGGGCAGCTCCAGCCCTGCTGTGGGGCTAGCACGTCTGCGCTTCCCCATCCTCGCCGCAGACAAGCCTCGGGGTGACCATGAACGAGATCCGGCCCCCAGGCCCTCTCTGCTTTCCTGCCAGACTCGCCGGTGGTTTCCTCTTGGGAAGCCGGGGCGATGCTTGTGGGGCGCCGGGGGGGGGGCCAAGCGGGGCCAGCGCCCTGGGAAAGGCCTTCCTGTCCCTTTCACAAGTCGAGTGGCCTCCAGGTTTTATTTGTTTCTTTTGCTTTGCATCCACCCTCCCGCTTCCAGCGGCTCTGTGGGGTGCTGCCGAGAGATTTGCAGAGTCAGAGTGGGGACACCTCCCCTCCGGCTCTCCCTGCTGCCTGCGGACCTGGTCCTGGTGCCTCTCCCCTGAAATCCCTGCCTGTCAGTGCTGCCCAGGCCGCGTGTGGCATTGCTTTGCCGGACGCTTGCGGTTTCCCCATGGAAGCAGGAAGCCAAGCATCCTCCAGGAGCCTGAGGTCAGGGCCCGAGCACGAGGAAGAGCCTGCTTCGTTGTCCGTCATGTGGCTAGCACACGGGGCACGGCAGGCACCCAGCACGTGGCCAGTTCCCCTCCATCCTCAGGGTTGGGCCTTAGGAAAAAAAATGAAGCCAATCTGGTTTGATGTGTTTCCGCAGCCCCAGCAGCTCAGCTGGTCTCCCTGCTCTGCATGGCCCCTTAGACTGCCAGCAGTAGCGCCTGCTTGGCCATGGCTTGTCTGCAGGTTCCTCTTCTGGAGCATGGTCTTTGGCTGGTCTCTGCAACCTCTTCTGCCGCCCCTCTGACAACGGCCACAGCCTCAAGTTGCTGCATGAATCAGCCCAGCCCACTGCTCCTGAGACTGGCTCTGCCTCCTCTGGCCCGGTCCCGTCCAGCCCCATGCTCGTGTCCCTGCGCCAGCCCCCGACCTGACGGGGCAGGATGGAGCTGTCCCTCGTGGAGGTGGGAATCTCCACATCACTCTCCTCCTCCTCGATGTTTATGGGGCTTTTCTCAGTGCTTTATCCCCTCTCTGTTGCTATCAGGAGCCCTAGTGCTGTTTGCCTCTCTGTTTTCGGTTGTTTGCACTGTTGGTGCACCCTTGTGACTGCCAGTCCCTGGCTGAGACAAGGTATGTGGTTTCTGGGATGCAAAGTGGTGTCTTTGGGGAGCTGCTGCTCCCCCTGCCATGGCGCCCACATGGCTCTCCTGACTGCCGCAAGCAGGAGGAAAAGCACAGCTCAGCGGTCAGTGCATGGGATACTGCTGAAGGATGGACAAATTCACACCTGGCGGAGAGGTTTGGCCCATGGAGGATGGAGGGGGAGCTCAGGGCATCACAGTTCATCTTGCAGCCATGCACAGCGGGGTGCGATTAGCTCTCCGGAGCAGGAAGTTGTCCTAAATAAAAGCCTTATTGCCCTAGAAGTGAGTATCCCGGACAGCTGGCCCAGCCTGAAAGAGCTGGGAGTGTGGACACAGCCAGGCTGGGAGCATCCTGGAGCACCAGGGGGTTCCTTCACGAATATATTTTTGGCCTTTGAGCTGAAGGTCACAAGAGGGAGAGGGAAGCAGGGACATGTTGGCTGAGCCCCTGCCTGTCATAGAGCTGATGGACCACACTAGCGATGTTCTAGCTAATTTTGAAGTGCTGGCAAATGTTGGCTTCCCAGCTGGTTTAAACCTGACCCATGTTCCCCTCATCCCCATCCAGCCCCACAGCACTGTCAGACCCCCACCCCCACCAGTGCAGTCCAGCACCTGCAGCTCCCGCAGCACCCTCTCGCCCCAGTGTGCTTGACCCCACAGTGTGGCAAATGGGGTCTGGCTGTCTGCAGATCGGAACAGTGATGACAGGCTTGGAGAGACAGTGTGGTGCGTGTGGACGCCTGGGCAGGTCTCTCTGGGCAGGTCTGGTTTGGCTGGAGACTGTTGATCCTGCCAGCAGCAAGCTCAGGGAGGGGCAGCACCCATGGGAGCACTTCTCCGTGTTGCAGGGAAACCCCTGCTGGTAAAGCCTGAAGCTCTTTCTTGAGACTTTGCGGGGCCACTGGAGGAAATCCCCCTGGGAGCAGCGAGGTGATGGCAGGGATGGACCCTCCTGTGCATGCGTGTGCACACGTAGGGAGTGTCTTGACTCATGAAGAGCATCAGTATGTTGGGCTGCCCTCCTGGCTCAGGGCTCAGGGACCCTGCCGTGTCCTGCAGCCCTCGTTGGGGCTGGCAGGGTGCTCTCTGCTCCGGCCTCGTGCCCCGCTGGGGCACATGGTGGCCCAGGGCACACTGTGCTCAGGTGACGTGGTGGACCCAGGACTCCCGCAGGTTCAGGCAGAAAGCAATAGGGACAGTCCCCAGGACGCCAGAGCAGCAGGTCAGGGAGGAAAGAGCCACAGGCGGGCTGGGCAAGGGGGCCGCTGTGTGCAGCGGGCACCCATGCGTGGCACTGGGCACCGGGGCTGCATGCAGCAAGGTGAGCAGCAAGGGGAATAGGCTCATGCACAGCAGCTGTGTGCGACGCAGCGTGTGTGCGCCACCCCGGCTGTGCAGCATGTGGGCATGCGTGTCAGGGCAGGGCCCCGCCACCCGGCGCGGGCCAAGGATACGCCCCCCGGGCGCAGGGTACCGTGCATAGGGATGGCTGTGTGGGGCGCAGCATGCAGGGACAGGCGTAGGGGGCGCAGAGCTGGGCATGCAGCTGTGGGTAAGGACGGGTGTACACATGCTGCGTGGGCACAGGTGTTTGGGGTGCAAGGTGCAACATATAAGGAGAGGTGTAGAGTACAGTGTGTAGGGGCAGGGGCACAGGGTGCAATGCCATTCCCGTGGTAGGGTGCTGGGGACCCCTTTGGGGTGTGGGTGCCACATTGCCCTCGGCAGGACCCCTGGGGGCAGAGGGCTGGGAACTCAAAGGCCTTCGGGACCCAGTGCAAACCAGAGCTCCTTTCTCTTGAGGTGCTGGGAAGGCACCAGGAGCCTTGGGCACTCCCCGGACCTAGAAAGATGGGGGGGTGGCCATTTTGGCCACGGGTACCCCTATTCCCAAGTCCATCGCCCCCTGCTCGGAGTGCCCCCTCCTGCCTTCTCAGGGCTGGGCATCACCTGTCACAGCCAGGGCCTGTAGGCTGAGAAGCCCAGCTGCGAGGCGGGTGCTGAGCCTTGGGTGCTGAGCCCATGGTGTTGCGTTCCAGGCCAGTCCTGCCCTCTAGTGTTACCGGAGCTACCCTCAGCAGGGCCTAGCCCTGGGCTCCTGGGAGCCGAGCACTTGCAAACTCATCACATGCTGTCACAGGCACTTCTGCCTCTGTGCCGGGCCCGGCGAGCTGCGTGAGCAGGG